GCTACTAGTAACAAGTGCCTTACTAGTAGTAACAAGAAGCTATTAGATAGCATCCTTTGGGAAAACCTACGAGGCTGGTTGTAGTTGTTGCGCATCGCTAACCCAGCAAGTAAGCGAAAGGACATCGCCACAAAAATACAAGGTCTTCACCGCTAGGAGCAAGAACGCTACCGCTTGGCCTCTCGCTTCTGTAAATCGATTTGCTCCTCTTTCCGTTGGGCTTTCTTCTGCCTTGGGCATTCTCTCCAAAATTATCCCATATGTGAGGGAGCACGCCCTTGAAGGAGCTGAAAGAAACCAAACGCATCTGCAACTCCTTTTTGAAGTAGGATGACAAGGGCATCGCTACAAGTAGCAAGAAGCTACTAGCAGCTCCTGGCATTACTACTAGGAACAAAAAAGTTACTAGGAGCAAAGGGCATCGCTAGTAGGTTGGAGGCCATTGCCCTTAGGTCTTGGTTCCTTTTTGAAGCTGCTGCATGGCAAACTGTCTAATAGCGTCCTTGCTCCTAGTAGCTTCTTCTTACTACTAGCGATGGCCTCCAACCTCGTAGCTTCTAGCTACTAGAAAGCTTCAAAGACCTACTAGTAGCTTCTTGCTCCTAGCGGTAAGGCCAGGAGCTACTAGTAGCGTCCTTGCTCCTAGTAGCGATGCCCTTTGCTACTATTGGAAGCACGAAACGCACAATTCACGGAGAAAGCGGCCACTAGGGAAATCGAGACACCCAAAACGGAACTCACATGCGCCCGAGCTCACAAAGTGCCGTTCACCGACTGCACATGACCTGAGCTTCAGACCTTTTCGAGAGCTTCAGGTCTTTCCCGTCCTCTTCATGCTCCGACGCATCTGAAGAGCTGGCAGCATCGACCTGTGACATGGACAAGAGAAGCACAAAACTGTTACTACTAGCTTCTTGTTACTACTAGTAAGGCACTTGTTCCTAGTAGCGTGGCACTTGTTACTACTAGCTTCTTGTTCCTAGCAAACTTTGGAGAGTGTCAAGCGAGAGCTAATCCGGCAGTTCTACCGGTCTCATTGTGTATTATGTGGAAACCCCTTTGGCCAGCTTTTGCGACTTGAAATCTGCCCCACCGAAAGGGGTGTGTATGAGTTGGGGGACGTGCGTCTGAGCAAAAACACTGAAAAACTACTAGTGACAAGAAGCTACTAGAGGCTCCTGGCCGTACTACTAGGAGCAAGAAGCTACTAGGGCGCGAAGATTTTGCAGCATGTGATGTGGAGGTGGTGCGCCATATGACCTGGGACGGGACATGATGTAGCACGCTTGCAGTGAGAAACGACCCAAACCAGTGATGCAAATAATGGAATGATGAGAGACAAAGTAAGACCAAACAGTAAGCATGATCGAGATAAGACCTGGAGATGAACGGTACCATGCAGTGGTGACAAAGTATTATAGGTGTGGACCCTCTGAAAAATGTACAATTTCAACAGCATCATCCATCTTTGCCAAAATAAGTAAAATAGATATCATTAGAATAAGGATGATGAATAAAGCCATACCGAAAACAATGACAATTGTTTTACAAAGGGCAAGAAGGGTAAAGGGGCAGCAGCCGTCGAACAGCATGCTGAGCATGCAATCAATCAAGTGCCCAAACTGTCGCGTTTCAGGGTTTCAGGGCAGCATGAGGCATTCAGCAATGACCAGCAATGTCCAGAAACATGCCTTTGGAGGCCGTCGCTAGTAGGAACAAGAAGCTAGTGGAAACAAGTGCCTTACTAGTAGTAACAATGTTCGCTACTAGGAACAAAGGGCATCGCTACTAGAAGCAAGAAGGCTAGTTGGTTGGAGGCCATCGCTAGTCGGTTGGAGGCGGCCTTGAAGTCCGCGAACTCAAAAGCGGCAGAAGATGCTTTCGGCAAAGGCTTCCAAGGTTCTTCTGGTTCCTCTGGCTCCTCTGGCTCTTCTGGCTCCTCTGGTTCCTAAGGCAGCACGGCGCGCACCGAAAACAGATCTTTAGGTCGGTCTAGGTCTAGGTCTTCCACATGCAAATCAAGCTGCGCTTTGCTTCGCATTCCTTGTTTTCTTTGCCTTCTTGAGCTGTTTCTGTTTTTCGACTTTCTCAACCTTCCTTTTGGTGCCCGACTTTGTAAGGAACTCTTGCAAATCCGAGTCAGATGCATCCTCCACACCCTCCATTTCAGATGGTTTGATCGTAAGCCCGACTTTGTGGCCATCAATCTTCACGATTTTGCCAGCAACTTTGGTGCCGACTTTGTATGAAGTCACTGCCGTTGAAGCTGAGTCTGAAATTTCAGACTTGTGCACGAAGGCATCAATGGTAGAATTCTCCAAACGAACAAAGAGACCAAAGGACTCAACCGCTTTCACCTTCCCTGAGACGATGTCTCCAACTGAAAGCTGCTCAGCAGTAAGCGTGTTTCCTGTTGAATCTCTTAAAGACAACTCTACTTGGTCTGTTTCTTCATTCAATTCAACCACTGTGATATCACGAAGGAGCAAGCCTGGTGGATACAACTTTGCCACGGCCTCTTTCATGACATGTGTTTCGCTCAAAGCTTTCAGTTTGATCCGCCCGGTCAGAGTTCGGCTCAAAGCCACAAAAACGCCAAACGGCCCGGAGGAAGAAACATAGCCTGAGACTTTCTTGGCGCCTGACTCCTTCAACTCCTTGACCGAAAAGAACCGTTGCTCCTCTTCAGCTTCTTTGGTGCCTTGCACTTGGCTCCATCGTAAACTCACCTCACACCGCTTACTTTGTAGACTCTTTTTCGACTCGTTCGGCTCGGAGTCGTCTGGAGTCGACAGGAGTTTCACGGGAACAAGGGATCCCACTTTCAAGCGATTCGTCGGCTGCTTGGCCCAAACGTCGAAGAGTTCCGTCATGTGCACCGAACCCCAACGTCTGCCCGGCAACTGCACGGTGGCCGAAGCCGCGGACGCATTCGTCTCGTTCAGTTTATTCAGCCGCCCAACGCAAATCCGTCCGCTTTCTTCACTCTCACTTGGCAGTAAGGAGAGGTCGAGTTCCTTTTGCGAACCTGGCTCGGAGAAGAAAAAACAAGAAGCTAGGGGAACCCAGACCCCAAAATAGAAGCAAAAGAAACGGAAGAATTAAAAACTATATCTATCTCCACACCTGGGAACTCTTGACGTGGAGCACTCGAGCTGAAAGGACCTGACCCACCTGAAAGTGCTCGGAGAGAGACTGCAAGACGGCGAGGTCCGCGGAGCAGTCCAGGACTCCGACGCGGCCGCGGATGCCCGGAGCGACTTCCATCCACAGGAGCTTCTTCTGTACCGACAGAACCGCCGCCGCGACGACCATGCCCGGCTTCAACGTGGACCATCGGATCAAGGCCTTTTCATAGGAATCAATATTGTCTTTCAGTTGTAGGGAGGGACGGCAGGTCAACTCTAAGTGCCAAATCTTCACCTTCTTCTGCGACCTCTGCTTCATTCGGAGAATGCGCGCCTCAATGATGCCAGCATCCTTCGTCGGGCGACCAAAGTTCTGCAAAGGCATGGCTGGGTGGCATTCCGAGCCCGGCTCGCCCACATCCACGAGCTGAGTGGCATGCACATGGCCCTGCAAATTCACAGGGGCCGCGCACAAGACTTGCAAACCTCGGATACTGCGCACTGGGTAAGGCGTTCCAAAGAAAGGTTTTAAGAAAAGAGTGCAATTGTTACCAGTAGTGATGGCCTGCAACCTACCAGCGATGGCCTCCCACCTAATAGCTTCCTTGCTACTACTTGCTTCATAATGTGTTGGCTATTTTGTTCCTAGTAGCGAACATTGCTCCTAGTAGTACAAGTAAGGCCAGGAGCCCCTAGTAGCGTCCTTGTTCCTCTCGTTAAGCAAAGATACCTCGGATACTGCGCACCCGCATCTTCACAGGACTTCCAATTTGAAGTTCTTCTTCTGGACGACTGATGCGTGGGATCGCTCCCCACCTGTCCTTCTTGTCCTGGTACACAATCAACACCCTCTACAAACCGATGGACCAAGTAATCCCTTTTTTCGTTTAGATCGGATTTTGAAATTAGAACAAGAAGCTAGTAGTAACAAGTGCCACGCTACTAGGAGCAAGTGCCTTACTAGTAGTAACAAGAAGCTAGTAGGAACAAGTGAATTCAGAATTAGCTCAAGTCTCCTTGGGTTGGCAAGGACAGAAAATCACCATGGGGGATTCAGCACTGTGCAGAAGCGTCTTCAATGGAACCTTCCAGGTGCTTGGTGTATAGGGTGGCGCAAAGAGGACCGCGGCAGGCTTGGGACTCCAACAAATCACATATGACTTCTTCGATAAGGCAGGAAGGACAGAGAGTTCCATTCCCTTCTGTGGCTTGCCATGCTTCTCGAGAAGCTCAGGCTGTAAAGAGACGTCAAGAATGCCCGTTTCGGCATTAAAATCTAAAATCGTACATCTCAATGACTTTCCGACGGTCATGCCCTTCAGTTCTTTCATGGGCATGTTTTCTTTCAAAGCGACTGCAGTGATGCCCTTGACGGACAGAACTAAACCATAGGCTTCGATCTTTGTCACTTCTGCATGGACCATAGACCCCGGCAGAAGAGTCTTTCCGCTTTTTCCTTTCGGAAAGATTTCCTCCAAGTTTCTCTCTGTCAAAGACAGGCGAAGCGCCTCTGCCTCTCTCTCCAAGAGTGTTTTGTCAGTGACAGCTGTGGGTCGCAGATCTGCTTCGAAGCGATGTTTCTGTGTATCCACATTCTTCACAAGGGCCCTGACGGATTGGCCGGCAGACACGACAGAGCCGGCATCTTCGACAAAGCGATTGGCGAGCTCAAACTTGTGTGCCACTCCTGCAAGCCTCCAGCTGCCGACACAAATCAAGGCCCCAAAGTCTCGAACTTCCTTGACGTAGCCCGAGTAGAAGCGCCCTTCCTGGAGATCAGCCACCTGGTTCACGAACGAACCAGCTTGAGATGCCAGAACCAGTGATTGTTTTAAAGATATCAGGACAAAGGCAGCTTGCTTCTCAACTGCATCCTTAGTGTAGCCTGGGATATGGCCTCGTGCTAAAACAACACCTCGTTCATGGAGCTTGAAAGTTGATGAACTAAGTGCCGCCTGGCTCAATTCTCCGCACGGCACCTCTGCTGAAATCTTGCGGTATTTGCTCTTGGCAACGTCCAAGTCATCGGACAAATGTGGAATTGGAATGTAACCAAGTCCTCCCGAGCCTCCTCCCGTCCCTTCTCGCACATCCATCTCCCCGAATTTCACCTTCATCGGCAAGCAGTTCAAACCGCCTACGTGCGCCCTACAGCCCGTTCTACGGCTCCCTTTAACTGTGAAATACTAAATGCTCTTCTCTCCCTCTCTCTATGCTATTAGGTTGGAGGTTGGAGGCCGCCGCTGTTAGGTTTGGAGGTCTCTCTCTCTCTCTAAAGGACCAATCTTCCAGTTCTTCCTCTTGAGCTGAGGCGCTACAATGCCATCAGGACCAGCGTGGATTGCCTTGACCTTCACCACAGAGCCAGTTCGAGCTACAGAAACATCCTTCACCTGCCAGCAGTCTGCCGATCGCAAGTGGATACGTTTTGCATTCATGGGTGCCCTAACTGGATGAGAAAGAACATTTCAACGTTCCTTTCTCCGTACTGGTTCTACTCAACATTTTTCGAACATGCTCAAAGAAGCACAGAAAAGAGTCTCGTATCTCTTAAGGAGGTTGGAAGCCATCGCTAGTAGGTTGGAGGCCATCGCTATTCGGTTGGAGGCCATCATTTTCAAAGAAGCGCAGAAAAGAATCTCGGATCTCTTACTGATTTTGATTCATTGCGCCTCCATGTCAGCAGCTGAGAGACCATTCTCCAAGTTCAAGGACAGAAGGATGCGACAAGTCGAAGTCTTGCGGTCAACCTACCGGATTATCAACGTCCACATCAGATTCAAGACGGAAAAACCGAGGACACCCTACCAAGACCAAAGGAATAAGAGACTCCGTTTTGGGGGGGCCATCGCTTCTCTTAGATTGGAGGTCATCGGTAGTAGGTTGGAGGCCATCTTTAGTAGAAACAAATGGACAAATAAAAGAATGAAAGGTGTATTCAAATAGCAGTAACAAGAAGCTACTAGTAGCTCCTGGCATTGCTACTAGTAGCAAGAAGCTACTAGTAACAAGGGCATTACTACTAGTAGCAAGGTGCCTCATAATATAGTCTGCCACGGAATCTCGTCAAGACAGGCACGGTTCTGGTCTTCTCGTGCTTCCCTGCCGAGGCCATCTGACTGACAAGTCTTTCGGCCAAGAAGCATTTACCACACGGCACTTGACGGCCATTCCAAGAGCAGGAGCTTCTTCTGCCTCCATGTCCTTCTTGGGGATCAAACCTTTGAAAGCACGCGCTTAGGACACTAGTAGCTCCTGGCATTGCTGCTAGTAACAAGAAGCTACTAGGAGCAAAGGGCATCGCTACTAGGAACCCGGGCCACTACTAGGGGCTCCTGGCCATCGCTATTCTACTCGCGAAGCGATCGCTGCGCACGGTGATACGGACCGGGCGGTGAGACATGAAAGCGATGGCCTCCAACCTGCTAGTGATGGTCTCCACCCCAGGAGCTTCCAAAAGCGAGTGCGTGTGAAACCTGTTCAAAAACCTGCAGCTCTACCCTAGCATAGTAACAAGTGCCTTACTAGTAGTAACAAGAAGCTAGTAGTAACAAGTGCCATGCTACTAGGAACAAGTGCCTTCCGAGTAGTAACAAAAAGCTATTGATTTATTTTAAAAAGAATGCATGTGTGTGTGTCCGTCTGTGCGGGCAAGGCTAGATCACATCACAGGACGTTTGCTTCGGGGTATGCGTCGTGCTGTGCGAAGACTAAAGCAGCATCTTCAGAGGGTGTACTTCGCCTAAGTCGAACATCCCAACTCACCACAAACTGGACGCGTCTAAAAGTAATTGAATCTGTTCGGTTTTTTTTCGTTGACCAAGAACCTCTGGCACCACCATAGAAGCTGACCATAGCACCATAGTCATGAATTGAGCTCACGTATCCTATCAGAACCATGTTGAGCATGGCCGAGGAATTGCTGGTCAATTGGAAGTCGCTCTGCACCAAGGACTTCTTGGCTGTCAAGGTCAGCTGCCTTCTCGCCTACAAACCATTCATGCTACCAAAAAAGGAATACACAAGGAAAAAAAGAAGTCCAAGAGGTTTGGTCTAAAAGCACGAAAGCAAAGTAGAAGAAAAGGGAGTGATTAAAAAGAAAGTTAAAACGAAAAACAATTGCTCCTTAAAAAAGTAAAACAACTAAAAATCCAAAACGTTCGTTCCATCTTCGCCTGGTGAACGTGCAGTACACGACACTTCACCTTGGAACCGACGCTGAGCCGTTTTGGAACCGAGGCCAGTGGCACGTCTGTCAGCTGTCGAAGGTGAACATGCCCCGTGACATAGCTGCTCAGCTTCACATGAATTCCTTAGAAAGAAGCGTTAGAAAGAAGCTCAACAACAGCTCAACAAGCTAGGTTGGAGGCCATTCTTAGTAGGTTGGAGGTTAATGGGGCAGCTCAATGAAGCCTACTAGCAGCAAGGAGTAGCTGGGACAAGCTTCCTTGAGAAACGAAAACAGAACACTCAGTGCAAAAACCACCAGAATACAAAGTCAACAGATTGGTACGCCGGTATGCCCTTCGAAGCCTAGAGGCCGTGGTCTGCAACCTTGGAAACAGTGCCAGTGACCAGCTGACCAGGCACCAGCTCCGTGACGGAAACCAAGGTGTTTTCCAAAAGGTCTGCAGGTCTTCGAGTCAAAACCAAGGTGTTTTCCAAAAAGTTGTACGACAAAACTCGGTATTGTGCCACTTGTCCATCGACCACGGAAGCGGCGGCGACGTCTTGATCTTGATCTGCCAGCTTTGACATGGGGCAGAAGCCGATCATGCCCTCCGTCTTGCAACGGACGCGGCATCCATACTTGCGCTGAAAATCTAAGATTTCTCCCTCTAAACGGTCTCCTACCGCCTGTTTCTCAAGATCTGCAGGCAACCATTCCACCAAATGCGGAAGCAATGTGAGCTGCACGATCGGTGGGATGGGCGGGGCCGCAGGAAGAACCGCCAGAACTCGCCCCAGAAGCTGCTGATTCTTCACGAAAGGGGAATCCTTCGCGTCTCCGTCCTCGTCTTTCGACTCTTTCGACTCGTCTTTCTCCACTCCCAGGTGATGCTTGTGAATGACTCCCGTGAGTCCACAGAAGTTCACCACCAGACCCTCTTCAGCCACCGAACGGACCCGCGCCGAAACCAAAAGCCCCGGCTTCAAAAGGCTCAGGTCTGTCACCTCGCTCTTCAAGGGCGAACTTGAGCTGTTGCTACCGTTGCTACCACTACATGTCACCAAACCATTCGAGTTCACCGTTTGCACCATCACCATCAAGATCTTCCCAACTTTTGTCTCCGTCGCCTTTGAGAGGACGCCGGTGAAATGCGGTGCGAGTCCCAAATCCAATTTGAACACATGCTCCTCTTCTTCAAGAACTACCGCTGAGATCCACATGTGCTTCTTCAAACCGTGCTTTGTTGTGCTTGTTGCCAACCCCGCATTCACCAGGCTGGGCCGCAATGAAGCTTCCAGTCGGGTCTTCTTTGCACCTAAGGCGCCCAAGATCACAGCCGACACCAGATCACCCGATTCAAAGCAGCCCATCTTTCCCCCACAGCTTTCAACCTCGCTGCGCTGAACATACCTGAAAACGAAAAAGCGCATGTTGGAACACAAAAAATACACTAATTCCGTGACAAGAATGCTTGGAATCAAGAATGCTCAACTGTGTTTTGGGTTTCATTCGTGCATTTTAACGGTTTCATTCTCGCATTTGACCCAAGGCGCGCAAGCAAGTTGTATGGGAGATTGAGTGTTAGCTCCTGCAAGGTCGGACTGCGATGAAAAAAACGTGGAAAACCATGGGCGACCGGCACCGAACCCCCTCGCTACTAGGAGCCAGGACGCTACTAGTAGCTCCTGGCATTACTACTAGTAGCTAGAAGCTACTAGTAGCAAGTGCATTCTAATTTAATTGAATTTAACTCAAATAGCTTCTTGTTACTACTAGTATGGCACTTGTTACTAGTAACAAGAAGCTACTGGAACCAAAACCGAACCTTCGACCTCGCGCTCGGCTCACCTCCTCGGTGACGTCACGCACAGCACCAATCATCAGGGAACCCTCGCACAAATGTGCTGCTCCCAATCTTCGCACTCGACCTAGGAGCTAGGACGCTACTAGGGGCTCCTGGCCGTACTACGAAGCTACTAGGAACAAAAGGGGCATCCTTAAAGTGAAGGGAAGACGAAAAGTACTCGAAGAGGCCATTGCTCTTAGGTAGGAGGCCATCGCTATTAGAGACAAAGAAGAAATTGAAGAAAGGTCTTATATAGAAGGCCATTAAGTCGACATGACCCAAAATGTTCAAAGGAGAGCCCCAGTGACTAGAGATTTCTTCTTCCATTTGGCCTTCTTCCGCATCAACGTGTTCCGCTTTTTTTTCCTTTTGCACCTTTTGTTCCTTTTTCTTTCACCTTTTTCACCTTCGGCTCATCTTCGTTTTCACCTTGCTCCGCTTCATCACTTCGTCTCGTTTTCTTTTGGCTTCTTTCGAATGCCTCCTCGGCGGAATGGACCAGCCGGTGCCGAAGTAGCGTCCTCTCCTAATAGCTTCTTGTTACTACTAATCAGGCACCTGTTACTACTAGCGTGGCACTCGTTACTACTAGCTTCTTGTTCCTAATAGCTTCCTTGCTCCTATTGGTACGGTCAGGAGCCCCTAGTAGCTTCCTTGCTCCATTTCTTCACTTCCTCGTCTGGACATGGCGTTTCACTCCTCTTCTTCTGCTCTTCGCTTCACCATCGTTGTCTGAAACAGGTGCTTATGACTGCAACAGGTGTTGGAGCATTTATGACTTCACTTGGGAACGAGCAAAAGCAAAAGAGAATCTGTCACCTATATGGACACAGTTTTTCAGAGTGGAGTCAACAGGGTGAAGGTAACATCTACATTGCTATGGAATGATGGTACCACATGGCTGCGGATGGGCCAATGGGAGCACTCCCAAAACACAAGGAATGTTGTACAGCCGATGCTCCTACCAGCAATGCAATGTAACCCACTAGCAATGGCCTCCAGCCTACAAGCGCTTGTACCAAGCAAAAAGCACACCAAACCATTTTCTCAACGCATCTAGGCCAGGGCAGCTGCCAAAGCACAACGCCAGAAGTCCTCAGAAGCGATCGTGTTGTCACCACCTTCCAGAACCGAGGTGCAACAAACCATTTCTGGTCCAGACGCACTTCGCACAAACAAATATAAAGTACTGAGAGTAGCTGTGTCAATCTTATGCAGCAAATAGGAGACACATAATATATATATATACACACATACATACGCACACACATCCATATATATATGCAAATAGGCTGTTCAAAAAACCTGCGGTTTGTGTGCCAAGAGCATCCAACGCATCGACCTTCAGCTTTTCTTGGTGCTTCATCATGGAACGGCTTATGCCATCTGCTTCGTCTCTGGACAGCTGATAAGCCTTCTTCAGCAGATCCCTGGCACTGCCTTGAGTGAAAGTAGCTTCTTGTTACTAGAGGCAAGAATACTACTAGTAGTAATCCCAGGAGCCCCTACTAGCGCCCCTAGTAGCTTCTTGTTACTAGGGCTTTCCAGAAACATCCGCCCGGTCGCCGGCTTGGCGCAACACGAATGTCCTGCATTGTTCGCTCCAGTGCCAACAGTAACAAGAACCACCAGTCATCCCCAAACAGCTCTGATGAGCACACCACTCACAATAAACGATGCAGCGATGCTACTACGGGCTCCTGGCCATACTACTACGAGCAAGAAGCTACTAGGAACGAAGGGCATCCCTGCTAGCAGCATTCTCACTACTAGTAACAAGAAGCTACTTTGGCACTGCTTTGCAATGGGAACTCTTTACAATGCCTGATGCTAATCCTGATGACCGTGTGCTGTTTCAATCCTCAGGCAAAGTGAACTAAGTGAACTACCCAAAAACACATCCATCATTACAATGTGTCCCTCCTAGTCGGTTGGAGGCCATTGCTAGTAGGTTGGAGTTCAACATCTGTCATATTTGCAGTCTGATAACTGGAAATCAATCGCTAACCTGCTGAGAGGCAACGTGTTGGTGAGTTTGGTCCAAGTTGCTGAAACGAAGCAAGTGGGGTCTGAGCCACCACTCGGTGTATTGAAGCCAATGGTGCCTGTCTCGCATGTGTTTGTAAAAATGACGTCCAGCCACTTGGAAGTCCAAGGGACTTGCTGTGGACAGCGGACTTGCTGTCTCTTCCTCCGTCATCTCCGCTGCCCGAATCTTCGAGAGCAACGGCATCGGATCATCGGGCCACAGGAATTTGTGGATCAGCGGCTCGTCCGGGACGAAGAGCGGAATGGCCATCGAGTACATGTCCGAGAGACGCAAGGCATTGGGAATGTGGGGCAGCATGGCCACGGCTTCGAAGGAAGCAATCTCATGAAAACTCATGGAACTTTGAAAACCCATGAACACGATCCTTGAACTCCGATCGCCACGTTCCTCTGGCGTTCCTTCGCCTCTCTCTGCCTCCAGAAGGCGCAAGACCCGCTGAAAAGGAGCTTGTTGTGGCAAGGACGATCGGAAGAATAAGATCTGCGGTTTCGCCGGCTGGTAGCGCACCGGGATGTACAAAGAGAGACACGGAACGTAAGGTATCCGAATGCCTGCCTGCCAGCGAAGGATTTCGGCCGTGATGTGTGAGGTGGCGCTCATGGCCCACGGTCTGCGTTGAAGAGTCTCATGCAAAGACCACTGAGAATAAAAATCCAATTCAGACCTCTCCTCACTCCCCCCATTCATCGTGGAAAGGTCTTCATAACCCTTCAGGGGGCGCTTTGCCGTCTTGACGACTTCGGAGGAACTCCAGCCGGTCTGCTTGCTCAAACTCTCTTCCCTTTTTGCTTCGTTCCTCTTTTTCTCCTTCTTCCTCTCAAACAGCAGAGTCCAAAAACTCTCCACTTCGTCCAAGCCGAAAACCTGATCGAAATCCACCAGGAGACCCATCACTCGCCCTGCAGCCGATGCCCGGGTCAAGGCGCGCCGATCTCCACAAGAACTTCCTGAAAAGAATTGGGAGGAAAACAAGATGCATCTCTTAATTTTTTTTTGTTTTTTGTCTTCACTTTCTTCCTTTTGAGCACCGAATTGCCAAAAAAATGCTAAAAGAGCCCGCTCCCGCTCTCGGTCTCACGTTCTATCTCTCTCTCTCTCTCTTCCTTCTCTTGCCCCAGGTAGTGGCAGGTATAGGACTTATTCCTTCTCAGTTAGTGGGCGATGGATTTGAGGAATCCCTTTCCGCTGTTGCTGCTGTGTTGTGTCTCCCTAGTTGTCTTCCAAGCGTGTCTCCCTATCTATCGGTCTTAAGGACATGATGCTCAATGGCACCAGAACCACTCGGGCCAGGCTGCCAGGCCCTCCACAAAATGTGCCACCCACTCTTATGCACTGGGCTAAGGCTGCTAGCTAGCTCCATCAGATCCTTTCTTTAGGTGAAGCGATGCCCAAACTTGAGTCGACCCGAGCTCACACACGAGTCTCCGTTGTCGTGGCTGGGCCATCGCTCTTTCAAGGAAAACGGTCATTCTGCACTTTCTGCACGGCACGCGTGTACGGACCCGTGAGCTCTCGGCTTCGCGGGCCCGTGGCTCGACAGTGCGGGCTCGCGGGCCTATGGGCAAGCAAGTATCTGGGCATTTTGAGACTATTCGCAGATGGTTTCCTTTTTGCCAAGAACTGGGAGCGTCAAGTTTAGGGCAAGGTGCCTCAGTGCGCTTTGGGGCCTGGGTGCTGGTTGAAGATGCCTGATGTCTACGGCTGGGTGAGCTTTGGGTTGTGGGCACTCCAACCTACTAGCGATGGCCTCCACTTGTTCCTAGTAGCGTTCTTGTTACTACTAGTAAGGCACCTGTTACTAGAAGCGATGCACTTGTTCCTAGAAGCGTCCTTGTTACTACTAGTCAGGCACTTGTTACTAGTAGCGATGCACTTGTTCCTAGAAGCGTCCTTGTTACTACTAGTCAGGCACTTGTTACTAGTAGCGATGCACTTGTTACTAGAAGCGTCCTTGTTACTACTAGTAAGGCACTTGTTACTAGTAGCGATGCACTTGTTCCTTATAGCTTCTTGTCTATACTGCTGCTCACACGTGGGTTGGGAGTTGGCGAACTTTCACTGGCCGTTTGGTCGAGCACAACCCGTCTGCACAACATAATAAGAGTGATTTATGGATGTTAGTTAACTTTCGCGCTCCGATCCTAATACTTGGCAAGAAAATTGCAAGTCAGTTCAAACTTCTATGATGTGAGCTG